TGGTATAGCTTATCATTTTGAGCAATGACTTGATCCTTTGCTGTCCATCTGTGCCTAGAAGGCAATTAACAGAGCAGTGAGTGGCAGGTTGCTTCTGTTAGGATGTTGACCTCAACCATCACGTAAGAATTCTTCTGAATTCTTTTATTCAAGTATGTGAAGAGTCCTCTTTTCCTCAGTATTGCTTGCATTCTTCATTTATAACTTCTCAGCCTGACTTTACAGACACCCTACAACCCGCAGGATTTTGTCCTTCTCTCTTTCAAGCCACATGAGTTTCTTACTGCCTTTGCAGCTGCCTTACAGCCTTTTGCCCTAGCACGCAAAATCAGTAATCAATCCTGCCCCTACATATCCTCAGAGACCCCTGAAAAATGCTCAGGTCAGTCCTTACAATAAGGTCAACTGCTTTGGTCAACAGTTTCTCTGTCTTGTGCTCTCTTGTCATATGAAGCTTACTTGTTTCTTACTGTGGCCTGTAGAAGAGTGCTTGACACAGCTATCATGCCTAACAAGATCTGCAGATAATGAATTTTGACTTTAATACCCAGCAGTACAACTTATCTGCATGCCTGGATCACTTGCAGACTCTCACTGACTACACTGGATTCTGCAGGCATTAAAGCCTGGTCTTCACAGATGAGGTTATGTAAACAGGGTGTTTGATATCCTACATTTGAAATTCACACTCAAATGCACTTCAGGCAGATGTCTGCCTTCAGACAGATCTGGTGATGAGAAAAGCTGCAGGAACAAAAAATGGGGCCTTAAAAATCAGTTTGACTCTTGTAGTGAACATAAATTCTGTGCAAAACAACTTGTGGGAATTCCTAAAATAGGCCCAAGCCCATCTGGCTTGATAACAAATAATAGTACCAAATTATTTTTCTCAGAACAAGGTTGGTGAAAATGTGAATATTACCTACCTGTCTCTATGAAAAAGGATACATGGAGGAAATAATCCATAGAAACAGCCATAAATACTTGATCTGAAATATATTAATTTTATTATTCTTTTCCTTGAATTTCAGCTGAAAAAGAAAACACTGGAAGTGACTGTGTGGGATTATGATAGATTTTCCTCAAATGACTTCCTCGGTGAAGTGAGTATCTTATTTCTTCCTCTCTTGTACTAATAACTGCAGGCTGTTATTTGGAGGCTGTTCTCTTTCAAAGTATGGTACACGTGTTAAGTAAAACTGGTTTTTTACATCCCAGTTTTACTGTTGTCTTCTTAACAAATGGTCGTGATTTCTTTAATTTAGACATGAAAGATATATCCCTTTTATCTTGATTAGCTGGGGACAAGCTAATTTAGGACTGAACAAAATGTCAATTTGCTGAAAATAAATACTTTTTATGAGTGTGAAGTAGCAACAACATTCAAACTGACTCAAGGGGAAATTCTTTTTATGACTGAAAGCTGTCTGACTTGATTTTCATAACATAGAAAGGTTGAGGAGGTATTAGTCTTTGTAAATGATTAAAACATTAGATTCTGCCATCAAACCATATTTTAATACATGCACAAGTATCTTCAAGTATGAGCAATTTAGTCTTGCTGATCAGTCTCATTTTTAACATTCTGAAATAGTAATATAATTACTAAAGTATGAATGAAGGCAAAATCTAATCTTATAATTAATAATAAATGAGTACTCATGGGAAGAAGGCTTTCTCTTTAAAAAACAAATAAACAAGCATACCCACATATAACACATAATTACCAGCAATAACTATGAAATAAAAATAATTAAAGATGTAATTACAAATAAAGATTATAATTAGAAACAGAAGCACAGGAAAATCGATCTATCGTGCAGAGTAACTGAGAGTATCTGGGCTCATTCTACATTTAAATTCTGCAAAAAAGCCACACAGTTCAGCTCCAGTTCCTCTTTGTGTAACTACCAAACTGAGCAATCAGTGTCACTATTTGAACAATTACTAAAATAAATGTATAGGAAGCTGCTACATGATTGCTTATTTCCTGCATCCTGTGTCCATATTCTTGTTGAGTTCAGCATGTTTTTCAAATACAGGGCTTTACTGACTCTTTACATCCTTTTTTTTTATGACATTTAGAAAAGGGATGCTCTAGCAACTGCTTCTACATGAAAATTTAAACCTTTCCCATTCAGATCTTCTTCAACCTCTGGAACTACATTTTTAAAATTTTCTAATTTTTTTTTTTTTTGATTGTGAAAGCAGTTATTTAGGGAAAAAAGTAACAGAAAAGACTATCCAGTGTATCTGAGCATCAGGATGTCCAGAGGAATCCTGGACCACATCAGTTGTGGGATATCCGAACTGTGCCTCAAAGATTTGTTTGAATCGAGCCAGCAGCACTTGTGTGCTCCAAAGGAAAAGTGGCACATCAAGGTCAATATCCATGGAAAGTGAAATCTCTCCTCTTACAAAGCAGAGGCCCCTGCCTATGCTGCCCATTGGCAGAAATCCTCAGCCATGCTCTCTTCCAAGTCATTTTCAAAGCTTGACTAAAAACCACAACAGGGAGCATGCTAAATATTCATCTGTTAAGATTAATTTATTCATCTGTTACTATTAATTATAGGTCTAACCGGAAAGACCAAGACAGATCATAGACAACCTATAAAACTAAAAGGAAAAAAGGAATGAAAAAAGGCTTTTAACCTAGAAACCATCAGTTTTTAGGAGACTTCCCCATCCCTGTACTTGAAGAGGCTTTCTTTAATTCAGGGTTTTGTAATAAGGTTCCCTGAGGGAATTGCACATTTTATTTGTCTAGCAGTTTTAAAACTTCCCTAACTGACATTAGTTTTAACCCTCTCCCTTTAGAGCCAGTTGCAAATCTATTTTTGACCTTCCTTCCTTCATGATTCTGTGATGAATTTCAGTAGTCTTTGGTGCCAATGCTCTTTTTTTTTTTTACTTCTATTTTTTTAAAGAAATTTCACCAAAGTCCTGCTAACAATGAAGGTGGCTTAGAACAGATTTCATCTACAATATTTGCAGGTTTTTTAGCCAGTTTATTTGTTTCATTCCCATATTACCATTGCACCTCCTGGTTTTTTTCTCAGTAATGTTTAGATGCATAAATAGTCAGTTGAATTGTATTATTTTAGTGAAGTGCAAGAGTAACCCTGTTTTTTTCTTTTTGTTGCTATTTCTGCACATGTGGATTTTTTAAAAATTCAAGAAGCATGAGATGAGCCTCATCTTATTGAAGACCTTAATAAAAGCAAATATGCAACTTTTTCCCACCTTAAAAACCTGATAAAATGGAGGAAATTACACTGCTTGTTTCTCCTATTAGGAAATATCTGTACAGAGACAGAATGGCTGGCTGTCTTTTTAATGTCTTTTTATTGTAGCTGTCAAGCTAGTGCTCACAAGCTGCCCTGTAAACTGCCCAATTGTCTTTGTCTGGAGCTATGCCACAGCCAAAGGACTCAGCTCACAGTCCTTACTGAGGTCCTGGTGAGAAGACATATTGGTTCAGACACATAAATATGCTACTGAATCTGGGTTTGGGGTCACAGCATGCCCAGAGAGTCCTGAATCTGTCACCACACAGCCTTATAGCCTTCACTCTTACACTTGATTGCAGCTTCTGACAACACAGCTCTAGTATCTTCTGCTGTATGCAATCATAAATAGGTCAGATATAGTCCATATATTATATTTTGATTTATTTGTAGGTATTGATTGAGTTATCCAGCATCTCTCAGCTTGACAACACTCCTCGGTGGTATCCTCTTAAAGAACAGAGTGAAAACATAGATCATGGGAAATCTCATTCTGAAAAGAGTAGCCAGCAGTCTCCCAAACCATCTGTCATCAAGAGCAGAAGTCATGGAATATTCCCGGACCCCTCCAAGGGTAGGAATGACTTGGTGCACCTGATATGAAATATTTTCCCAGATGATGTGTAAACCTTTGCTATGTGTAAGTTCTAATAGAAAAATAAAGATACTGGTATGAAGTTTGTATAAATTTTTTATTAAAAATTCATTTATCTCTGTGATTAATTAGTTGGAGACAAGGTTTAAGTTGTATCAATCGTGCCAGCCAGCTTACTGAGCAATTTTGTAATTAAAACAGCAGCCTACAGACTTTACGTGCTTTGCACATCTGTTATAGACTCTATGCCCTTTTCATTTTCTTGATAGCTGTAGGCAAATTCAATACATATTTAGCTTTCTATTTTTCCTGTTCCTTAAATATGCTATGGATTTTTTTCTTCTGAAAATGCCATGTTAATATTTTATAGAACAACAATTACGCTTCAATGATGCATATGCATTTCCAGTCAATGATAATGGATTGTAGCACATCTCAGTTGTATTGGAAATCAGTGGAGCTGATACAGTAGAAATATACTAATGTTTACAAAAGCAGAATTGATCTCAGTGTCTCCTGGTTCAAGAAATTTATCTCTAATTCTTTTTTTATACTAAGTAGTCAGTGGACAGGTGCTCTCTTAAAACTCATTATGTGTCCTATCAAAGCAAAAAACATTCCATCTACAATCCAGATGAGAGCCCCAGAGGGACAAGACTCTGCTCCATCTCCTCTCTATTTCTCTGTTTAACATTTTGCCAGGGACTGGTGTCTATATAAGATGTCATTCTGAATTAGAGGTAAGTATAAAAGATATTGTAAGTTAGGCTGCGATTTTCCTGATGTCATTATTCAGGATAAAATTACTTGCATTTGCTAAGTGTTTGGTACTGGTGTAAGTGATGCTGCTTAGCCTTGACATACTAGAGAATACAAAGTGGAAAACACCACGCCATCATTCAAACAGTCTGAACCAGCACGGGAGGTCTAATTCACAGGTGTTGTAAAACAATACTAAATAAATTATTCCCTGGGCTAGGTAACAGTGGGGAAGTGGACGACAATGCTTTATAAGAGTTTCTTAATCATGATATATCCTGATGCTTTAAATGGAAAGGCACAGCTTAATCTTTATTCCTTGTTCTGGAATTTGGTTAGAAAGACCAGTCATGAGAAAGAGAATGAAATGGTTTGTTTTTAATAAATGCAAGAGTTGTACTTCTTCATTTTCCTGGTAGACATGCAGCTGCCCACCATTGAGAAATCCCACAGCAGCCCAGGGAGCTCCAAATCTTCTTCGGAAGGACATCTCCGCTCTCACGGTCCATCTCGCAGCCAAAGCAAAACCAGCGTCACTCAAACTCACCTTGAAGACGCTGGGGCAGCCATCGCCGCTGCTGAAGCAGCTGTGCAGCAGCTTCGCCTTCAACCAAGTAAAAGACGCAAATAAATTCCTCAGCATGGCAGCTTAATGTTCATCTGTTGCCTTTTTCCCTGCTGTCCTTCCCTTTTCGGCTATTTTTTTTCTGTTCTTGGCACACTGTGCTCACTTTGTTCAATGTCTTTCTTTGTGTGCCTGTGTGTGAATACATATAATTACAATATACTCTTGTATTTAGAAGTCTTTTATTTATTTAGTTATTTATTTATTTATTTTATGAAGACTGCAGTGAAACTGGCTGTTTCTCCATCAGTCCCTTCACTCACAGTCCATGATGTTCCATGGTTGTGCATGACTCACAGAGAAGTCCATTGTGTTTTGATGTCACTAAATACCTACCAATTAAATAATCAAAACCTGCAGAGATGCAACTGCCAGCTCTTCAAATTGCGTACAAGACTGAGACCACATTAATAACAGGATGTATCTATAAGTGGTAATCATGAAGGACAGTACTATACACACAAAAGAAGATTTGAAGTTAAAGAAACTTTTTTTTAACTACATGGCTGAGATTTCTATTTTTGAAACACGACTGTAAATATCTATTTTATTTTTTTTTGGAAAGGAAATATAAGACAACCTTCTTTATATCTTAGATAAGATTGTGATAGTGATGAGCAGAACAGAAATACAATAAAAACATTAAACACAATAAGTGCAAAACCATTAAACACACAGAGCCAGTAACAACATCAGATTGAACAATGTTCAATTTTTGAACATTGTTGTCAAGTTAGCAAACTCAAAGGCAGCTGAGAGCTAAGTCAGGTGTCAGAGTTCAAATTTTTGAGTAAATTTTTGCCATGGTTTGATTAAGGGTCAAGGTAGATTTCATCTGACAACTTCAAATAGGTTAAAATAAATTAAAACTATTCAATTCCAAAGGATTACTCTCCAGAGGGTACTTCAGACCAGTATCATCTGATTGCTAGCTGAGGGTTTAGTTGATGGCAAATTAAATCTCTCCGACTGTGAGGTCATTGTGTTTGTCTTTAGGATTTGTTGATATGCCATAAACTCACCATGGTATAATGCAAAACTGGGGGGAAATTATTTCCCTTGTCTTCACTGTCATTACTACAGAAACAGCCAGTTTTGATACTCTTTAATGCTGTGCATGTGGTGTCTCTTTGGTGTTTGAAAACACTACTTACTTAAATACAGAAAAAAAACCACTTCTGTTTGCATGAATAACATTTAAGCTGGTTCCATCTGAGGATACATACTCTGGGTTTCCATTTCACCCACACTGCCACAGCAGCACATAAAAGCGGTCAGTCTAATCATGCCAGGAAGCAGCACAGACACAGCATAGCAGGAGTCCTCCCTATTCAAAGAACTCAGTCTGACAATCTGCCTCCACCAGCCAATGACAACAAAGACCAAAGCCAACTAGCCCTCAGGAAAGTGATGTCTGATGGACCAGTCAAGCCTGAAGGAGGTGAGCAGAAAGACATGGTTAAGAAACCAACTACATCCCAAATACTTCTTGCCATGTCAACTAATTCATTGTGATATTTAATTATTTATTTTACCCCTCCATTAAGTGCTGTAAATGTTAACATGAATCAAGAACTCTGCTTGATTTTTCCACCTATCAGCGCATAAATCCATAATGAAAAACTGTGCTAAGAAGTATTATGAAGCAACAAATGTGTGCACTTCCATTCCACTGGAGTACTTGGAATTCTGTTGAAAAGTAGTATAGCTTTGCTCATGTTGTTGCCTAATAAAAAGCATGCATCCAAGCTGGTCTGCTTAAGCATGATTCGACATTTCTTGTACTGTGACAAAAACCTAACTGCACATTTTTGTTTCTAAAAATGTAATTGGGACAATAACAATTCCTGTTTCCTCTTCCAACACAATTATCATGTCAACAGTCATTAGCTTAGATAATTTTTCAAACCACCAGTGGAAAGGAAAGGAGTTTTGATCCATGTATAGCTCAATCTCTTGTTAATTTTCCTATCAGCATCTTTAAAAATGATTTTCTACTTGTAGGCACCTGTAATACTACATATCATCAATTTATTCCCTCATCACAAATAAAGAGCCAGAATCTCAATCAGTTCAAATTGCCACTGTTCTTTTGACTTCTGGAGCATCTTCTTTATTTCCATGGAATCTGAGGGATAATCCAAATAAATGTACTGACTGAACTCCCAGATGTTCTTTTGTGCTGTAATCCCTTCCTAAACTCTCAAGATGCATTGAAGGTTTTTCTGTAAACACCGCTGCACGCATTGGACAATATAAGCTGGCTGAAAGGGGTGCAGGAGAGAAAGAGGAAAGTGGTACTTTAGACAATATATTCTAAAAGCAACAAGTCAGTCAGACAACTAGTGTGATGTTAAAACAACTAATTAACAAGGCAAAAGTAACAGGTCTTTTTAAACATATTTAGAAATGACAAGTTTTTTTCTTAGGAGAGTCTTTAGAATTCTTCCATAAATCTAGGTATTTACACAAACACACACACACACACATTTTATTACTCTACAGCTCAAATCTAGACACTCAGCTCAGGCAGAACCAGGGAATGTCATGGTACAAGCTCAGGCATCATGTCTGAAAGCTGCATACCACTCCTGGGGGGTAGACCATTCAAATCTAAATGACTCGTGATCTTTTGAGATGTTGTGTCCATTGAGGTTTATTGCAAAGGCTCGTAGCCCTGTGGTGATGCCTTTTCACGTAGACAGGTAATGCAAAATATTTTGGTTGTGATGTAAGGTTGAATATATAAGGTTCAGATACACTTTTATAGTAAAGAAATGGTGAGTCTCTTGGCTTCAAATACCTGTGCCAACACACTGTTATTCTATCTTCTTCACTTTTAAAATTGCAGAAAGAATATATACTGATATGTACTTGGCTCAGCAAGTACAATTTGGAAGCATCACAGAGAGTTAAAAGAATAGGAGTCCCCATTATAAATAATGAGTCCACATTATAATAATAAGCATCCACAATAATATATAAAATCTATAAGATATAAAATATATAATATATATTATATAATATATAATATATTATATTTATTTGATAAGCATCCACAATAATATATGAAATGTATAAGATATAAAAATCTATAATATATATTATATAATATATTATATATTATATTTATTTATTATTATATATATTTTATATATAATATATTTAAAAGGTTAAAATTGTTATGAAGACATGTAGTACTTTTGTCTCTTTACTTCTGACAAGTAAACACAATACATGGTCAGCTACACAATGCTTAAAATTCTGGTTTCAGACCTGTGAGATATTTTGGCTTTTCTTTATTGTTTCAAAGATAGTTTGTCCAAATTTATTCATATGAGGTGGGCCAGTAGTTACCATTTTAAGGTTGACGACTCTCATGGCTTTTAGCAGGAATGAAAAGCAAGATGATTTCTCTGCAGTTTTGTGGAGCATGAAAGTAAAATGAGATGAGTCTATAAGCTCTAATGGAAAAAGCACCAAAGACACTCAAAACAGCTTCCAACGTATGGGCTTTGTGGGACAAAGAGATGATAAAGAAAGGAGAGATTTACCCTTCGTTATGAACTATGAATATTAGGGCATCATCAGTTTCCCAGTCCATTCCTAAAGCGATGATGCATGTTTGTGGTACTCACCTCCATTATACTCTACTTTACTGGAAACTGGAAAAGGACACATTAGACACTGGTTTTAATGACTGAACAGTCATTTTCTCAAGTTAGTAGTTTTTGTTACTATGTCTCAAAGCCCTTTATTAAGGAACCTATTACAGATAATATACAACATTACTATTATTTTTTACCACAGCTATTTCTCTGTGCATTTATTAAACAATAGAATCTTTTAGAAGAATTATTTGGATTTTTTTCAGCCTAAGTACACAACAGTGATGGAAACAATTCTATGCTGTGAAGTCCTTCTATGCTTAAGCTAACCCTCAGAAAGAGTGTCCTCCTTTGATCCTGTCTCTCAATAGCACCATTTTTTCTCTTGAATTGAACTTGCTTTAGAAAAACAACAAACCTAACAAGGCAAGAATCCTCAGTCATTCTGACAATGTCTCAGAGAAATCCTTCTATACTTCTGATTCCTAGAACCCTTTCTATGGGGTCTGTTTTGTAAGTTATTAGTTGTGTGTCTGTTGAGAAATAACAAGGAAATTATAAACAAGATCAGCACCTATAGCATAAATGTCATATTTTGTGAATGCAAAGGTCTTTTATCAGTTTTTCATTGAACTGAATTTTTCAGTATTCCTTTTAAATAATAAAAAATATATTTAAATCAATCTGCTTTAAAATTAAGGTGAAGATGCAACAAAAAATATTGTTTTTTGCTCAGAAACTTTGTAAAATCCAACAGTCAGCTATAGCAGTTAATTAAAAATAAACCCTGAAATATAATTTTGTTGTTGCCCATGAGAGATAAGGGTGTGATCTACAAAGAAACCAACAGCATGCTACACTTTCCAATCACATCCCTCAGAGAAGAACAATAACATTTCAGAGCCAACTCTTTGAAGCCAGAAATTGCAAGGGATCCAAGTCAGAGGATGGCTTTAATTAATTTGATTTAGGTTTTGTTCAATATATGAATCATTTCCAATTACACATTCACTTAAAATTAAGCACATTCCCTTCATCATAAATTTGTTTATTAAGAGTTTATCCACCAGATGAGTCAGTTTTAGACACAGTGTGAATCAGTCCACCACCTTTTCAGTCAGTAATCTATCCCACAGAAGGATCTTCTCATTATATGGAATTTTCTTTGTAAGTCAGTTATGTTTTAAATAAATTATTTTTAGAGTTCTTCAGATACTTGAAAAGTTGGAGATGTTCTGATTATTCAGAACACCACCAGTTCTCTGTATACATGCATATGAAAGAGTAGGTGTATTTGGAATAGAATTTTTACTGATTTTATACAAAAAAAAAGTATTTTCAAACGTGGCTTATAGATTTAAAGGAATGAATAACATGTTTTAGGTTTAATACCTTTCAATAAAGTGAATAAGAAAGACAAGGAACAGAAAAAAACTTCAGCATTAGTGTTAAGCAGAAAGGTGCACTACCTCTGTCTCACCATAGTAGAAACTTGGTTGGCCTGTCCTTCTTTGCAGAGAAAAAGATGCCAGCTTTTCCACTAATGGACAATGATTGTACAATGAAAAGTCAATTCCTTTATTATATTAGAATATCCAAGGATGAACAAAGCCCCATTATTTTATGACCAAATAAGAGAATTTCTAGAAATTTATTTTTAACCTTCCTAGCATCTTTGAAGAACAATAAATTAATATTTAAATAGTAAATATCTCAGTAAGTGAATTTAAGTCTCAACATCATTGTAGCCCTATACATTTTTTATTCTTTCAAACAGACACTCATGAAAAAGAAGCTACAAGTCAATATGCTATTGCTAGTATGTCTTTTGTTGATGGATGCCATAGGCAACTCCTCTTCTATTTGGCTCACATTAACCCAACCAAACAAAGAAGCAGCCTGCCACAATAAAAACACTGCTATACTCCTCACCTGAACTAGTTAGCAAATGTTAAGGATCTAGAGAAATTGTCATGCGTTTCAGTTAAAGATCCAAACATCCCTGTTAATTTAAAGTAAAACCAACATTATAATTCTACAGAACTTTCTGTCTAATTTTCAATAATGGAAAGATTTTTTCAAGATCAAACATCTACCAACTTAAAGTCATACTTCTTTAAAACATCCTCTGACACATGTACCTGGTACTATATTTTTTGTCACTGAAAATGGCGGGGTGGGGGAGGTTGGGGTGAGGAGGAGGGGAGAAAATGGAGCCCCACAGCATTTCATAGAGAATATTTCATCTTTTACATTATGCATTTTCCATCATGACACAACAGCTTTTCCAAAGAGTTGTATGTCAAGTGATTTTACTGGTTGGGGGAGATCTATTCTCAGAGCTGATACTGTTAGCTAGAATACCTCCAGTTTCAAAACTCCTCATCAGCGTTTTCAGAATGGCACCCAACTAAGTCTACCAATTTAAACATCTCAAAGAATGACAGTTTAAAACATTTTTGTTCAAAAGCTAGCACGGCTGCTTATAACTGTCTTCAACCAACAACTTTGACACAAATTCACTTAAGTGTCAACATAATAGGTTAAAGCTACATGTGATGTGATGCATGCATTCAGACATTGTCATCACTGTGCAATCCATGATACAAGTCTAAGCCAGCACGGTGTAATTTTTAGTCACTTAGCTGCAAGAAATTAAAATGTATATGAATTTTCCTTATTATTAAGTTCTATTTGCTGGCTTTAGCAGCAGTGGAATGAAAGAAAATTGATTCCTAGGTTACATAAATCTTCTGAATTGGATATGATTGTGGTTTCAAATACCTGCTAATTTAGGACCCCTTTTGGTCTGTATCCATTTTCACACATTTAATAGGCAACGTCATGTTTTAATTTCCTACATTATTTTAGGATATTTCCTTCACACTTAAATAATTTATAGCCCAAAGCTGTTTTAGTGACTCATGTCACTAGTTTCTTAATTTCCAAGTTAAATGGGCCTTCATATTGCTCCAAATAACCCATTTCCAAGAATCATTATCAGAACAAGAACAGTTTGTCCCCAGTCTGCAGACAGCAGAGAGTGTCTTTGCAACCTTGTTCCAATCTAATAGCTGGCCCATTTTGCTTTGGTTATTCCTACTATTTACTCTTCTACCATTTTAAACTGACATGTAATTTCAGAGAATTGCTCAGCTTCTTCATTTGATAACTCTTATTTCAAAAGTATTTTTTCAACATTCTGTAGGGGTAGACTAACCCTACAGAGTGCATGGAAAGTTATTTCATCCAAATTGCTTTCCTGGGTCAAGAAATTACTTCAGTACAGTTTAAGAAGTGTGTTGTTTTTCTGCTACTCATCTCAAATGGTAAATTTCTCTATATAAGGTTGTCTTGAAATTTCACAAAGTATCCCTGCTCAGTATGAGGTCATATCCGTGTCTAATATACAGCTGTGGCTGAGATGGGTGAGACCATGGCTTAAAGTCCTGTTCAGTATGAGGGAGCATGAGGAAAATAAACTATCTTGCCTGACTTGAGGTAGATGTGTTTGATCACCAGTTGTTTATGTATCCCCAATCTGTTGCCAGTTCACAAAGATGCAGCAAGCAGTTCCAACAACAATTTTACCCTAACCAAGCAAGCTGGAGCAGCTCTTGCTTTTAATGCCAGCAAACACTTCATAAAACAAGGAAAACTGGCATTTGGGGCACTTTGAGATTGGAGCACTTGAAACACAAGGCTACTGAGAGTGAAGGGCAGCCAAGCTTGTGCCAAAAGACACTGTGTGAGATGACCAGTCTGTTGGTCATCAGAAAATTACACACAGCAGATAGGGGCTTGCATCTTTTTGAGAAGAGTCAGTGGGATGCTTTCAGCCTTTTTTGTCACCCAGAGTTTCTCAGAAGATGGACAGTTAAAAGAACAATGTTTTTCAAGTAATTAGAGACCAGTTGTGGAAACTTAATCCTGAATCCATACTTGAAGGTGTTTTTCCCTTCTTCTGTTTGGTTCACAAACAGACCTGTAGTTCCTCATGTGTTTTGACACGGTATTTCTATTTCTAGACAGAAACTGGAAAAGGAGAACATGTACAATTTATTGACCAGGAGAAAGTGCTGGTTGAGTCTGTTCTTTCCTCCATATGAACCGTAGAACTGTAAAGTCAACTTTTTAAAATTTAAGTCTTAAAAAACATCCATTCACTGTAGAAGAATGTCTGGAGTGGCTGAGAGTCCTGGATTGTTATTTAGTAGCACCTGACTGATTGAGTAGCACTGATTGATAGGTCTTGTGTGAATGATCTATCTTCCCTATATTAAGTTTTAACAAAGCATCTTCTCTGTTGTCTGCTGAAAAAAATACTTTTCTGAAAGATTAAGTGAAATCATATGCCTTGCAAGCTTTCCTCCTATTAATTTTAATACTATATTTTCTTCATACTAAGGCATGGCTTACACGTTTTTCTTGATTCTAAAGGTCTTTTTTCTAACTGGGTCCATCAGCCAAAGCATAAGCAAATACATATTTTTGCCATGCTAATAGTGATTTTTAAAAGTAGAAATGAAAAGATGGAGCTGAAAGGTGGGATCAGTGCTAACCTCCATTTTATTGAATCAGCAATACTTTTCCAAAAAGGCATAAAGGTTGAATTAGTCATGTCCAAACATCATACTGCTGAATTTTTTTATTCTTCCTGTAAACCATGCAGAGTACAAAAGATATCTACCTAATGATTATAATTGTTTTTTGGGAAATCCTGGTCCTACGCCAGGTATAAAATTATCCACTTTCTTGGAACCTGAAATAATTACTGTAAGCAGTTGAGAATTTTTCCAGCTCATTTATATATTATTCACTGGAATGATTGACCTGAAATTTTGCTCATGTCAGAGCCTGTAAAACAGGCAGTTTAACAGAATCACTCAGAGGCAGCGTTAACACCACATTTCAAACTACTAAATGTGACATATGTACCCATTAACACCCATTCCAAGTAGAGAACATTTCATCTCATGGAGGGAACTACCAGCTAAAATAGGATTAACAGATGAAAATTAAATCAAACCACAACAATAGCTTTTTATAATAGGAAAATCTGTGTCCTATTTCAGAGAAAACAGTCCAAATTAGGGTTTTAAACCTTCATTTAATATTTCTATTCTTCATAGTTAAATGGCTGAGCAGCCCAGATATAATGATATTGCAGTCCTTAGAAAGTGCCAAGCACCCGATAAACTGTGTAAAGAGTTTATAGAAATAGGGCTGGAGGGGTTGAAGGGATATCCCTTATCCCAGAGAGAGGCCAAATGAAGGTGTGTAATGACCTTCTGTGAAGTTTTGTCTCTTTCATCTGCTGAGGCCTGAAGAATCTTTTCTCTAAAAATATAAGGCTTTAAGAATAATATGCAATTGGCAGCAAGAGCTTGCCTTTGACAAGTACTTTAAAAGTTTTTCAAGCTTTCTAAGAGTTTCTAAAAGTTTATTATTGGGTTGGTTGGGATTGGGGTTGTTTGGGGGGCATCGCTTAAGAGCCAGAGAATAATATGCAAAAGCAAAGGGCAAGGAAGCAATGAAACATAGCTCTTCCACACTCTGGGTACTTAATATTCAAATAAGGAAAAATGAAAAGTGCCTTCACCTGCGTTCCTATTCAGACAAACATTGTGGATTTCTGTAAAGCAAGACTGCACATTGTAGCTTCAGGCACCTGTGTGATACCAGATGACAATATCTAATCTTTGGACCCAAGTGAATCCACATGAAACTGTTCAAATGCTACAGACCAAAGCACTTCCTGCCAGAACTTTGCTGTCAAAATCTGTGGACTAAAGAATTTTCTAGCATAGGCAGATGTAAGAAGAAGCTCTGTAACTCAGAATTAACCTGCCTTAATACCATAATTAAAAGTAAAATTAAAACTAAGTATAATGCAATAGTTGCCTATCCTTTATGTGGATATGAACCAAATTGACCAAGCAAGGTGGAAATTGTTCTGACATTTTCAGGATTTCACAGAGCTTACGTAGACTGATAAGAATAGAGGAGCAGCACAGTGAAATCTGACTTTCTTGCTAAAGTTTCTAAGACAATATTTGCATGTATTCAAAGAGAAAGGGCAATACTGCAAATGAGTGTGCAGACTAGCTTTTTTGAATATAAGAGCATAGAACTTGTTCTATCTTTCCACATAGAGTAGAAAAATAACCATGGTTATACTAACTCTTAGGGAAAATATTGCATGGCAGGAAGCATTGCCACATCATCGGAACTCCAAAGTTTTGTATATAACTGGAGAAACTCAGAGGTCTAGATGTATCTGTAAAAATCCCGACATGTAGAAAATGTGGGTGTCTCACAAGTTATGAGATGATCTCTGTATCCTGACAGATTCTGAATATGTCACGAAACCAGCTGTAAATCTATTTGTGGATTTCATTTCTTGTAAGAAACTGACACCATGATTCATTACTTTCATAGAGCAGACAGGGAAAAAAAAAAAGAGTATAACATAAAACTTTAGAATTTTTAAAATCCAGTAATGAATCTAAACTTGGATGCATTATAACCATTCACTAAGTGAAGTGATCTTATGGGAAAAAAACCATCGATATGGAAAATTATGTGAATTGGTAAAAACAGTAGAAAAACTAAAAATACAGCATACTGAATGTGTAATCAGGATACAGCTGTTTCAAAGCTATGCATTGATTATAAATAGATGAAGCAAAACTTCTAACCCATTTTAAATGCTTGATTAAAGCTTTTCTGGATTGAACAGAATTCTAGGTTCTTACTGGTATTAGAAATCCACCAGTAAAGATATAAGAAATTACTTCAGACACTAGTTTTTACAGCTAAGTCAGTAGAAAGAAAAAATCCTAGATATGAAAGATCCTTTCAGGACACATATGTTATGGTGGAGATATATGCTACACTAAGTAAATTCATGCCTAAGGGAAGAACTGAAGATTCTGTGCTGGAACAATATTGTTTTGGCTCCCATGGACTTTGCAGATGTGTTTGTCCCCCATTTGTACTCACCTGTTAGGCATTTGTCATGCTGTGGCACAAAAAAAAAAAAAAAAAAAAAAAAGCCAACAAAACAACCTAACCTAAAGGAACCCTCAGAATTCCAAACAGAAAACACTGAGAGACATACAGGTCATGCAAACACAATGAGAACTGAGGTAATGAATCCGTTTGGGACAGGCATATGAGAGAGCCACAATTCAGGCTGTTAAATATAGGGCAACTGGCAATAATATGTTATAACAGAGAGTTTGGCCTCTTGTCTCTGAAATGCCACTCTTGCCCAGCATTTCTCAGCAGCATTTTGCTGACATGTGGTGACAGGCGTAGGAATTCACTCACAGCACCACCAGCTGAAAGTGATAGAGCAACCACTGCACGCAGCCACCCCAGCTGGCTGTCTCTCTGGAAAAAACATGTGTGCCTTTCTTCCAGGTGAGATATTGAGAGTATTGGCTAATAACACTATGATTTTAATTTTTTTCTTTGTATTTACATCCAAGAAGGCAGCCTATGATCAATGTATAGAGTTCTGGAATATAGCTAAAGAATAATTTTATCTGAAAACAAAGTAGACTGACAGATTCCACTTCTGGATGTAGGTAATAGTGGAACAAAGGAGATTAAAAGAGTTGAAATGATTAAAAAGTTATGTTACAACTTGATTTACCAGTGAAGGATCACCATGGAGAATAAAGATTCCTTATCCAATTCCTTGGGATTGCCCAAGGATCGATGATATGAGAATTGCTTCATTTATTGCTTCCAGTTCAAATTACTCACCTGTTTTTGCAATATATTTGAGGAGCTTCCTGGTCCCACATCAGGCAGCATGCAGTGTTCTTCACCTCACCAAAAATATTATTCAGTTAGTCAGACATAAAAAATATTGATTACCAGTTTAAAGCAAGACACTGTTGGGGCTCTGGCTCTTATTAAAATTCCAGTTAGATACTTGTGTAATTTATTTTCAAAGAAGAATATTTTTTAACTACTTACATAGAAAATTCACAGTTCAGCAAAATAACATAAAACCTCATTAAGTTTTCATAGAAACATAACTTTGCAAAGCATTATTTTCTATCTTCAGTATACATGCTCAGTAGGTTGAAATAGATGAAACACGAAAATAGCAGATGTATTATAGGACATTTAGAAAAAAAAAATCCCCAAATCTCTATTAATATTCCCAGACAATTGTGTTATTCAATATGAGAATAGCTACTCTATTGTTCCTGTATTAATTACTATGTGTAATGTCACTGTGTCCTTTTTCCTTTGTATTTCTCAACTTGCAAAATGCAAAATGCTGGATGATTTGTTCATGTAGTGCAGTAATGTCCAAAACACAAAATAAAGCAATCTGAAGTAAAACTAACATATGGTATACTAACACTAAATGGTATTAAATTAGATTAAGGCATCTCTCATCAAATTATGTTCATTAAAATTCTATCCATGTAGTAAGAGAGCTCCAGATGGGTAGGAGCAGTTGAGAAATATAATGCATAGCTGTGTTATGTCTGAAGAGGGGTGGGGATATTCTCTGTGGCTATAGGCTGCGTGCTTACATATCTTTGTAAACTCTTCTCCTCAAAATCACCTAATGCAAAGAACATTTCATAAGGAATATGAGGAAGGCCCACTGGGGCTTTCATTTTTACAAGATTATTGTGTAAAATATTTCAGATGAGTAACTGGTTTTCTGCCACTTAATCAAAAAAGCAGTGTTAACCATCCTATCCCAGTCTTCTTTTTTCCTTTAGGCTGTTGATTTGAACTCTTAACATGACTGGAGAAAAAATATGGTGGTGTACTATTTGGTTTAGAGCATGTTATTCTCAATGAAAACAAACTTCATCTGCAAAATATGATAAAGCAATATTTGAATATAAAAGTATAGAAGTGAAAGTGTTTGCAGCATGTGATTTTGATAAATTACATTTTTTTTCTCAATGTCAGTGGTACTGATGTCTTACAAGTTTTTGGTAACCAAATGTTCCTGCCCTGTACAGCAAGGTCTGCTAATCACCGACCTGCAGAAAGTTCTGTCTCCACTGGCTCATCAGCCAGTAGCTTTGGCAGTGGATACAGCATGGATAGCGAAGGCAGCAGCAGTGCCACAGGAGAGAATAATCTATTTCCCATCCCAAGAATGTAAGGTTTTTCTGTTCATATATTGTATCCTCCGTGCACAATTTATAGCACTTTCACTGTGCCAGTCCTCTTCTTATGTAGTTTCCTCTGCAGGCTTGAGTTGTGCAGTAGAATAGGAGATAAAGGGGAGAATTCCCCAGAGTTTTATTCTGCTTTGTTGAGCATCGAATTGTTAAAAACCAATCAAACCTCTGCCCCAATTTTGTGAATTTCTTCCTGTCATGTAGGAGATGTGCTGGTCTCAGCCTTTGATGAAAGTATGTAGAGATGAGCTTAGCTTATGTTTTAAAAGTACAACTATTGTAGGATTGAGAAAGCTTAGTTTAAGTTTTCAGATTTTCCTCCCTCTGTAAAGAGATGTTACTAGTGCAAGAGGAATTTATATTCTGGATACAGCCCAGCTTTTCCCAAGTTTTTAGAAGTTTCAGAAGAATTTCTCAGTTCTTGGATGGAAAAAGCTTTTTGGTACAGAGTCCCTGTAGGAATTATCAAGCTACTATCAGTGTAATGATCCTATAAAATGATTTAATTTTCCAAATTTTTAACCCAGTTAAGTACTCCAAAGAGATAAGTTTTGTCAGGATTTTTTCTCCTCCTCTGTCAGCATGCACCATAATTTATCAATTTCATTTATATTCCCTAATAGGACGAAGTAATTTCTGATCAGCTTAGTGATTCTGGACTGAAAAAAATTTACAGATTGACTGTCCTCAAAATACTAGTTGGTGGTCACTGTTCATTCATTGTCTGCAATAGTTGTTCAATATTTTCTCTGGAAAAAAAAAATGTTTGTTTTTCCCTTGAAGGTGTGAATGATTAGTCACAAAAGATATAAGCTTCCTAGAAAAAAATTAAAGAAGTGAAAATTCTCTAGAAGTGTGCTATTTCTGAGTATTTATCATTTTAATAAATAAAGCTCAATGGTATTTGTCTACATCTTGTTAGTAACTAAAGGGAAAATAGAGATAAATCTAAAACTTCAATCTCACCTTCAGAATCTAGGAGGGTTATATGAGCTTAGATTGTAGGGTGCCAATTGTTTGATTTGTATTGGATTTTTCACTCATGTTGTTCTAGGCTAAAAGGGGAAAAAATACTGTCTTTGACAACATCAAAAGAAAAATAAAAATATTGGGCTGTCATTCCTAGTGAGAAAAGCAAAGATACATAAAATCTTTGTGCACAATATCACAAGATGGAGTTCTCAATAGAAATTTTCAGTTCACACATGCCAAATTTGAATCCAAATAACATCATTTACTGTGTATTGACTAGCAATATGACAGTACCTACAGTTACTTGCTATTTGGCTGACAGCCTCATTGGTCCCTTAAGCCTGAAATCAGCCCTGCTTCTACTGAAAAGCAGGAGGAAGCCTCCACAGCTTCAGATTTTCTCTTATGAAAATTCGTTCTCATGAATTATCCTTAATTAAATAAAATATAATTTTATAAATATATATTTATTTCCACATCTCTTTTTTTTTTTGTAAGGCCACACTACTTTTTTTTTTTTTATTATGGCATTTTAAAGTAAGTTATTTATATGCTTACAGAGTCTTTAAAATTACACAGGAAATTTTTACAGACAGGACCTGCTTCATTTTTCATGTTAGCTTCTCAGGGCTTGTAAGGAAAATGAATGACAAAATAACTGTTTACCATCAGATCATTAATGGTGAGAATGTTTAAAATAGATAACTGTTTCCATTTTTAATTCTGTATAAGAATTCTTATTTATCTGAATATAGGTATAATTGAAATTCTGCTCATCATTTGCATTCACTCTGGCTTGATAATGACTTCAGGGACTCTAAACTTGTACACTAATTCAGCAAATCCATAAGACCACAGCATACAATTTGGATGTGAAGTATTAAGAAGGCTAAATATTTTTAAATATCTTGGCATTTAAATTCCTTTTTGGGTATAAGCTCTCTGCTTAGACTAAGTTTCTGGTCTATCAATAGAAATTGTGGATATGCTGAGTTTTAAATTCTTTGTTTTAGTCCAAGTGCTTTTAACCATCGCAACAATTAGTCTTGAAGCAAAATAATATAATTAAATAGTGACACCATGGGAATTGTTAGATGAGGTACCTAATTAGAATATTTGCCAATATTAAGAAGCTATAACTATAAAGGGAAATTAATAATTATATACAGTTACATAAATCTGAATATATCTTGTAAAGTCTTCCTAATTTGTTGGGTTTTGTTTAAAGTTTCCTATTATCCAGTTGTAAAATTCTTGAAAGCTACTCATGTTCTTATCTCTGATAAAGACCAGATTCTCTATGCCTTTGTGTTGTGTAACCCTTTATAGTAGTACATTAGCTGTAAAATAAAATTTATTTAGAATGCAAAGGTGAAAAACAATTGAATGATGTGTGATAAATATGACCCTTGGGACAAATAATTCTTGTACCATATCTGTAATGATTTATGAAGCATTATCTACAGAAGAAAGAAATAACAGTTAAACCTGGATATAAAATCACTTGAAAAACTGTGATTTTATACTAATTTTTTAGTTCCCTGTAAATTTTGACAACTTCAGACATCACGTTTGCTTCTCACACGTAGACACATCTCTACTCACAGGCAGAAAAGAACAGTGCTGACCGTTTAGCCCCCAGGGAATCACTGAAAATAATGCAACTGAAGATAATACCTTATAGTCTCTGTCACAGCACTAAGAGTCTTAATGCAAAAAGAAAACTAGAAGCACAAATGTTTTAGAGTGATTGTGATCATGCCTTTGAGCTTACAAAAAGTATATTTAAAAATAGCCTATATTTTACCTAACTTTCATTGGGTAAAAATAGACATTAAGATTCTAATGCAGGTTCTTTCTACATAAAATGCAGGAAAATAGTGAACTCTAGGGCATGATTTATTCCACTCTCTTCAAGATTAATGTTAAGTTTTCAGATTTGTTTCTTAGATTATGCCAAATCTAAACTATAAAGTAAAGCAATAATTTAAGTAGATGATAACCACAAGTATGCCTTACCTTTGAAGTAATGGTATGGTAGACCAAATATCAATTTTTATGACTGCTTATTATATATTTCACTGTTGACTATAACAAGATAAAGTGAGGAAAGAAGATATGCAGCCCCAGACTGATGTGGGGCAGGTAGCATACATCCTGTAAGAATGTACAGGCTTAGCAAGGTGTAATTGCAGTGGCTTTCAAAAGAGAAAAAAGATAATATTATTAAAAGAACCAAGCTTCATTGGCTTAGATGGATCATTGTTTTAGCTCTTATCTTTATATGGTTTTATTGACAACAACAACCGTATCTTTTCACAGAGGGAAGATGAGCCAGAATGGACAAGAACCAGTAAAGCAGTCGGGAGTAGGAGTAACTGATTCAGAAGGTAATAAGAAATACAAACAGCTCTACAGTGGTACCTCATCTTTTTAGGAAGGATGTGCCTATTTCTTTGACTTGTCATGCTATGAAAAATTAGTCTACGCTCTCCTTGTATTGTAGATTAAAATCCTGACCTTCATTTTCTCCAGGGGCTCTTTACACAGAATGCCAGTGTAATGAGTCTTCAGTTTAAATGAGAATGGTGTCCTACCTGTATATTTAAAGTAATTAAATAGTTAGATTACAATTAATAATATATAATAATATCTGTGTTCTGATGTTCATTGCTTTTCAAATGAAATATAAAAAGTATGGAGCTGACTCAATACTCAGTGGATTCAAAGAATATGTCTAATGCCTGTCAGGCTCTATTTTTATAACATTTCAGAATATTTACTTCATAAATGAATTATTAATATTAGTGTTTATATAAAACATTAATTTAAAATAAAATATTAGCTGAGCAGGTTTGACTGCTGCATTTAATGCAGATGAACTGTAATTAAACATTTATTGGATTGGGGAATTCTGAGTGATTTCTTTTTGGTATTAATGTGGTGCTGAGAAAGAAGAAGACGTAATATTGGAGCTGGAAGGCACCTGACAGAATGACTTTCAAAATTTCATAGGGAATATGATTATCGTTTTTATGGAAAACATGAAAATGGAGAGTGTTTTGTACTGAAGGAACACATTATGAAAATTTCATTTCCTTTTACATATAAGGTATATTCTTTCAAGTGTATGTTTATGTTGACCTCAAATATAAAACTTAATTATCATGACCATAATTTTATTATTAAAATAAGACCTTTTTCATTTAGATTTAGATTTCACTGAAACTTTGAGTATTAATTAATTCATAAATTTAAATTTATAAATATAATTGAAAATTTGATCTTAAGTTTAGTAATTTTAAAAAAATCAACATTTTACAGGTTTCTAGAATCTCTATATGTGAGAAAGTAATTGCTGTTTCCATAATTGAGCTAAAAGCAGTCTAACGTTCCACGGAGCTGAAGAATCAAATTAGAATTTACGGGTATATCTGTAAAGTTCTCTTTTCCAAAACAAGAATTCTTCCTCATGTGTATGCATTTTACTAAAAATTTCCATACATAGTACTCATTAAAAAAATACTTAATAATTTGCTTTATCAAATATCATATACTTTGATAATCTTCCTATCAAAATTGAATTTTTCAATAATATATTTAAGCATTTTAAAATAGTATATTTAAGCATTTTTAGAAAGAGTATATCTAAGCATGTAAAAAAATCTGGTTTTTAAAAGAGAAATGGTGTGATGAAAATGGGAAATTGGGAATTTTTCATTTTTATTTTGTCATGATGATTTTTATACAGAATTATAATTGTAAAAAATACTTTTTCATGATTTTGTTCATTATAAATTGTCCCTTAAGTTATGTCTTGGATCCTAAATTTCAGAGCCTACAAATACAAAATATTTTCACTTCTTATTGGTATTATTAATTAACCCCAAACCCAAACAAATACAAGTAATAATAAACCAAACAATACCCAAAACACCTTTTGAAACATTCTGAAAGATGTGTATGTAACATTTGGTCTGAAATTACCTTTCCAAAGTTATATTTCTTCTTGTCTTCAAAATTTTCAAATTACTCAAGAACTGCAATTCCCTAATTTTCACTTACAATGCAATTCACCTCTGCTACCTTGGGAGCTCTAAGTGTTACAACTCTTTGTGTGATCAAATGACTGGTTCTCATTGAGTGGTTTTTGCCATTGAGAGAGGCTGGTGCAGTCAGCCTGGATTTTAGTGTCTGATATCTAGCTGACTAAGAGGGGAAATCTCAGTGTCCAAGGAGAAATTAAACGAAAAGGTGGAAAACAATTCAAACTTGAGTTTCAGCATGTATATGTGATTATCTTTTGGGAAAGTGTTTCAGAATTTCGAGGAACTCAATATTAACTGAGAATTACTTCAGCATTACAGATTTGTTGTGGCATTCTTTTTATAGATTAAAAAAATAGAATGAACATCTTAAAATCAAGATTTTCTTTGGTTCACTTACCTTTGTTGGGAATCAGATGAGCTCTGAAGTGGAAGCAAATATTCATTCCCACTTTTCATTAACTAGAGATCTCCTATAGATCACAGTTTATTCTTATTTGCAAATAATGACTTAGAGTTACATTTAAAACTTTTTAATACTGGTAGTCTTTTTTTTACATTTTGAGATATTCTTAGGGTATAACTTCTAGAGACTAACCTCTAAAGAGACTAACTCAAGCTGTAAAAAGTAGCCTTGGGTTAGGCTCTTTAAAATGGGGAAGAATAAATTTGGTTGATTGAACATGAAGATCTACTGCTATGTGAAATATTTTAGTCATCCAAGTCATTCACACAGGCCTGACAAATGTGGCAGGGGACTCAGAGGATCTTTAAGACCAATAGCTGCAGGCAAAGCAAGGTGAGATCCTCAAATGACAGCGAGAAAAGGTTTCTGGGTGGCTGAAACAAAACTGTAGCAACAGGGTTTGAGTTCAGCTCATGGGGATATGAAAACAAAATTTAGGCATTTACATAAGGGAAAAAAATTCTCATTTTGTAATTGTTTGCCAACTTGTATTAATGTTTGTTTTTTTTTTTTTGGGAATAGTTGTTGTGCTTTTATCATATATCAGCATAGTTTTAATGAAATATCCAGGGAAAAAATTCTCATTTTGTAATTGTTTGCCGACTTGTATTAATGCTTTTTTTTTTGGGAATAGTTGTGCTTTTATCATATATCAGCATAGTTTTAAGTAAATCCGGGAAAACAGTGCTATTTACTTTGCCAACATAACCAAATGGTCAATATAAACAACTGTGATACTGTCTATGATAATATTTGCTTCTCTGAATATATTATCTTCTCATATTCTGTATTTTTGTATTACTTAATAATGTAAAAAAAATCAGAGTTTTGTTCTTAGACACTGTATTAGTTGTTTTTATGATATGCATTGTTGCATGCTATCTTACTCTGGGCATTCTGCCCTGAGCAGATGAAATACTTCATCTTCTTAAGCTTCAGTAAATCTTATTATACATATTGTGGTCTTTATCAAGTTATGCAAGCCAATTTCTGTATTTGTTTCAGAAAGTGCAATATATCTTGTTCAAAGATTTCTTATTACCTGGTTAGTGTATTACAGACATTATTAAAAAAAAAAAAAAAAAAACCAAAACAACAATTTCATCCATGTAAAGATTGAAACTAACAATTAAAAGCACATGATTAATATCTTGATTCAGTTGTAGATCATGATTGGTCTATCTGTCCTATGAAGTTGCTCAGCCAATAGGCTCCAGATGGTATTTTCCACCTACCAACATTTATTCATTTAAAAAAATATATGAGGAAAATTTTTTCCATACATTTTAAAAGTGTGAATTTGCTAGGTAATCCCAAGATGCCATTACTTCTAATAGGAGAGAGATATATAGGTGTAAATAGCATTGTCATGGAAATGTTATTTCTCCTGTTGAAGATTATGTATGCATGCAAAATATCATTCTCCAATCATTCCTCAATCCTCAAGTATTGAAATTCATCTCAAGCAAAGACTCTTTTAGGAGTATGTCAGGGTTTTTTTGAATGAATGAGAACTCACAGTGCTTCTGTCATCCTCTGTGGCTGGCGTTATTGTTGTGAGGATTTTTAGTTAGAAAATTTTAATCTTTCTGTAGGAGGAGTGTTACACCTCAGCCAAATCTTCCAAGAGAGTGGGGTTTTTTTACCTTTCTTTTTTTATTATTACCCTCCAGTCCATATCCTGAATACCAAAATCTTCTGTTCAATGTTTAGCCATGCCTCAATGCTTCACCTTTTGACCTTTCCAGTGGTCCTTTGAGCCTCATAATTACACTCATATTTTGAGTGTAGTTAAACAAAGTTCTCTGAGTAAGAAACTGTCTCCTTCTACAGATGATTGAACCTGAACAGAATTTCTCAGAATTTTCTAGTAAAGGCCCAGTAAATATATTTCCATAGAACAACAGATAGAACAGATATGTACTATTTCAAAATCTAAAGCTGCACACATACTTACTAAATTTCTACAAAATTGTATTAAAGAGATAAGTTCTCATTTAGAATAACCTTTGGTGAACTCTTGCAGGAGTTTTCCTTTTTTAATTTTTTTTTGTCATGCTAGTAATTTGGCTAAGTTAGAGATTAAAGGAAATAAAAACAACAAAAAGCAAGCACAACAACAAGACCCAAACATATTCTGTGATTATATTTTAACAAATTCTACAGTACTGTGGGTTTAATTTCAACTATTCAGAGTAGTCTAAGATTAAAAAAAACCACCTTTTTTCCTTAGTTTTTGGGCTCTATGGTTTATCAGCCAAAATGATAAACTAAGAAATTCAGAGTGGTTTAATTTCTTATTACTGTATTTCAATAATTTAGGCAGTCTAATCTTTATTTATGACAAAAATTGTTGAAATTCTCCAGAAACCTTAAAGTATGCTAGGAAGTCATTCTAATAAGATTTTGGAAAGGTGTATGACCCTCTGAATGGAAATAATTTGACTTTTAAATGTTCCTTTATAGCTTTCTGAACCATTCTAGTGAAATTTTCATCCATCCTTTCTGCACAGAATAGACCCTGGAGCAAATTGTCTTGCAAACTGTTTCACACTGCTTCTCCTAAAGAAGAGCAACCAGGAGTGATAAATGGATTAGCTCATTTGAGTAAAACAAGGCATGAAACAAACTGACAGAATAGGCACAGCTAACCAATGCCATATTATTCTTCATAGTAATTAAAACTCAGAAAAAAAGAATACATTTTTACTTGCTCTTAAATTAGGCTAAAGTAACACTCTTTAAACCACAAGACTCATTGTACTATTACTGACAACAAGCTGAGGGCTTGCTGCATCTCACACCTTAAAAAATAGCATTTTTTTTCTTTTAAATCCAAAGGTTGAAATATCGGAAGTACAATATTAGTCCTTGGATGTTCAATATTAGTTCATAGTTCATTAGTTATGTTCAATATTAGTCCATAAGGATCTTCAGAGAAAAATGCCCTAATATTGGACCTTCAAAGAGAAAGTTATAAGAGGAGAAAAAAGGCTGTTAATAAAGTTATTAACAGATAATTATGACAGAGTTACTGAGATTTTCAAATGCTTTTGTATATGCATAAATCTATACTTTGATATCTGGTTTGTCCAGGCTAAAAGCAGGAGGTTTACTGCAGGTGAGAAATTTTCTTGCATTAGAATGATCAGAAGAGAGCACCTTTCCTATGGAGACAGGCTGAGAGAGTTGGGGTTGTCCAGCCTGGAGAACAAAAGCCTCTGGGGAAATCTTGTAGCCTTGAAATAGATTAAGGGGACTTGCAATAAAAGGAAAAAACTTTTTACCGCGACCTACAGTGACAATGTTTTTAAACTGAGAGTAGATTTAGATCAATATATGAGACACTGGATCAGGTTTCCCAGAGAAGTGATGGATGCCCTAACCCTGGAAGCGTTCAAGGCCAGGTTGAACACTGGGGGCTTGAGCAACCTGATCTAGTGGAAGGTGTCCCTACCATGGGGTGGGGTTGGAAGCAGATGATCTTTAAAGATCCCTTCCAACCCAAACCATTTTGTGACTCTTTGCTATGAAAGTGTTGACAAAGAATTTTGATAGGCTCAAAACACAAAATGCAAATATGCCTGCTTGGTGTGAGTGGTGTTCTGGGAGCTGCTGTCCACTCAGGTGTTTGACAATTACAGCAGTAAAAACATTTCTGTCCTTCAGCAGTGATTTCTTCTGTACCTTGATTAGGAGCATCAGGCACCCACATTTCACACACTTCATCCAGTGTTTTGTTTTGAACAGATAGGTCAGTAACTCTGTGACAGGAAAATTCCACTTTCTTCTTAGTTTAGTTTCTTCTGCTTGTTTCAACTACTGAAGCAACATCAGAATGTCACATGTAAGTATTGGCTAGCAAGAATCTGAGAACTGTTCTTTCCAAGGAAAATTACAAGTATCATTACCTAGCGTACAACTGCTCATTTCTATATTTATGTCAGGAAGTGACTGAATAGACAGAGGAACTGTGAATTCACATGCTGGAGTAGTCTTCAATTTACCTACAGGTCATAAACTAGTACATATTTATTTTTCTTTAATTTAATTAAATTGAACGAAACTGAATACGAACTTGAAAACATGAACTTGGAACATGAAACTGAACCATCTTCTGTAACATGATTCCTGACTCCTAGCAGTATAAATAACAGTATATAGAGCAGCAATAAATGACCAAGTCAGAAGCAGTGACTTTCACCATGGTGTAGAATAGTTCTGTTTCTGGACCAAGGCTTAAACCAATTCTTTTTAAGATCTTTTTAGATTGGTATCTCAAAACCACAGGAAGCATCATCTATTTAGGTCAAATAGTATATTTGACATTTGCTCCCTTCCCAACAACTTAAATAATTCTGGATTTTTGTACATTTAATCCTAACATATACCAAAATGTATAAGAACCTGGAAAAAGTCTGGAATTGCAAGCATTTTTTTGAATCAACAGAATCTTTTACTGACTGAGTATGAGACTCTTGACTTGATTCTAATGGATATTGACCCATGGATATAAAGAGAAATACAGGCAATCTGAAAGTTACCAACATTTTATCAACAGTCAGATTACCACTGACTTGAACAGTGGTTGAATTGTATTTTTTAGTTTTGAGTTCATGTTATGTACATAGCAAAATAAGTTGCTGCACGTTCTCATTGTTTTTCCTCAAGAGTAATATAAACATGTTAATCTATTTTAAAAAACACATTCTTAGTGTCTGTAATACCTGCTTTTATAGTCATATTGTCCTTCTGATTTACATGTAGAAAACAAGGTTTTTTTCAAAATAAAATATTATTTATTAAAATGTGATTCTTTCCCTGGAAGATATCTAATTGAAAGAAGAAGAATTGCCAAACTTCTCTATTATCCCTATAAATAAAAAAGCTAAAATTCAATCTGACTTTGTTTAAACTGTCTTTAATATAAAATCAGAACCTTGCTTTCTGCCATCACCTTCTAGCAAGGGTCTGCCATCTACTACTCGACAGCATAATTTTAATCAATGCCAACAAAATTTAAAGCAGAAAATAGCAGCAAGGGTAATTTCTCACATGAGCAGCTGCTACATTACAGAGCAAAAAAAAGGACATAAAGGAATAGAAAACAAGTGCTGAGAGTGCTTGCAGATATCCAGTCATATGCTGATTTTAAGAATTTAAAAGATCAGAAATACTTTTCTGTCACAAGGGATCCTTAAGCAATGAGTCAGGCCTATGCACTGACAGTAGTCCTTATCCTCTCTCGTTTTTTTAAAAAGAAGTCTATATTTTATACATGTCCCCTTAAGCTAGGAATAGACTTACTACTAATGCCTAAAACCCAAACTTTAAAAACTGAGTCAAGATAAACATCAGCAGCCTTATAAACCTAAGTATTATCAGCTTCCTCTTTAACCTCTGAGAAGTATTCTTTTATCTATCCCCAATTGCCCCCACATTCTAATTTCCCACCTGGCTCTCCAGTAATAATTGGAGCAATTAGTTCTGCCTTCCTGAGGTATTTGCCAGTATAATCCAGCTGGTTTTCCTAAAAAGAAGCAGAAAGAATTTAAATAAGAAAAAAGTTTATAGCCAGAGATAAAAAAAAATAGAGAAAAAGAAGGACAAGTTCTGTGTTCTTGAATCCACATCACAAACAACATTGATTTACAGTGCTACAAATCAGCCTATTTCTGAACTGTCACTGTAAAGTGTCATCAAAAGAAAAGTAAATAATCCAGGGAAACAATGCTTAACTAGTAGCTGGTCTACAGTTTCTTCAGTTCTGAGTTCTGTATGAACTTTGACTAAAAGGCGATTAGCCCTTAAATTATGTCTCAAGATAATTCTAAAACAAAATTATTTTTTTAAGTTTTAATTTTAAAAATTCTGCTTTTCTGATGAGATCTGTTTAAATTTTTTAAAAAATTACTAAGAAGACAAATGAAACAACAAAATATCTGAAAAGCACAAGTATTTATTCAGAAAACCAAAATATCACACCTTTGAAGTGATACTTCAGTAATCACTTGGAAAGTTTATTTCTTTGCTTAATATTATTAATCACTTTTATTGGCCTAGCTCTTAAATACATTTCTGTAACATAAAGCTTCTTGGAACTTTCAGAAAGCTTCTTTTGGTGACTTCTTGGAGTTGCAGTGAGCTCAGAGAGTTTGAGCTTGGAATCAGAATGCTAGTAATTCCATCAAAAAATCTGATAAATATATATCATTTAATTTCAGAATAAAAAAATTGCAGAATTCTAGAACCTATCTCTTTAATAAGATGTCCTTATAAAGGAAATCTGATTTAATACTACCTGGCACATTTAGTATAAATAACCAGTTAATAATGAAGACTGTCAACACTGGAAAGCAAGCAGAGGGATCCCCCCCAAAATAGAGGGTGAAGGTGCTGGAGTGTGATTAACTGAACCTGAGCCGTGTCTGAAGAAGGGCTGCTTCAGCTAGAGAGAAATTTAAAATAGAAATAGAGTCACCATCCATGATTAATGTTCATTTATGATCAGTAAAAGTCAGGTTGAAGCATTAATGTGTTAGAAGGTAAATTGCCAAATCCTAAATGGTTTCCCCTCTGTCATTAAACTGAAACTAGGACTTAAAAAGTAGAGCTTTTAGATGTCAGTTTCATGGAAAATTCAGGTGATGTCTTCTTTTTAGCACTATGATTAGGATCTGTAATTTTGTGCATGCACTGAGGGAAAAATGTAAGTAAAATAGATCTGTTCTAAAGTCAATAATATTCAATACTCAAATGCATATAGACTATTCAGTAGTAGGAATGGTGTTAAGGGGGCTTCAAAAGGTCATCCCAATTATTCAAGGCACAATATTGTTCCTAAAAGGCTTTTTTAACTTGCACCAAAAATTCTTAGTATTGATAGAGATGTCACAGCTTCATTACTCTGTTCTATTGATTGATTAACAGTAATATGTTTTTCCTATGTTCTAGTCCAGTTGCTTGATGAAATTAATACTCAAGGTCAGAAATAAGAAGCCAAATCCAAGAGCTTCCATTCACAAATATAGCATATTTTATCAAGCACTTCCTGTAAATAGATTAATTTAGGCTTGCCTCCAAATGATAACACAGCCATTCCTATGGAATAGTTCTGTGTCAGAACTTCACTTTTGCTGTATTTATTTGAAAGGTTACAAAAACCCAAAACCAAGATTATTGTAACCTGTTTCTATACTAGACACTCCTTTGCATGTCCTTAATGTCTTAAGACTCTTATTTTTTTTAGGATAATTTATAATTTACTTAGAAATTAAACTATTATGCTAGGAATTCAGAAAACAGGTTTTTTGTTTACCCTCGCATATTCTTGAATACAATCCCTTTTTTTGGACTGATACTCAAACTGTTATTTTGGAATGCTGTTTAAATGCAGATAAATCTAGAGCATTTCCAGGTGGGATCACATGGCAAGCTAAAATTAAACTTCAGCTGATCTTCATTTTAGCATGTGAGAGTCCTTAAAATTATTGGACTGTAAATTATGTTACAAGAGAGAAGGCTTTAAAAATCAGTGCATTAGAATGAATATAAATCTTTCTTAAGATGGCAATGCCTGGATACATCCAAGTCTTGTGGTAGAGTGTGCTTTCATGTCTATAGCTAGAAACTCCTGCTTTGTCCCTACTTAATTTTCAGATTAATATGCTTTCTATAATGTTCATTATTACATCCTATGATAGTAGTGTTACAGGCTTGCAGCTTTAATGAAATGTGTTGTCCACTGCTGCAGTATGTGAATAATGGCTTGTCTGTTATGGAAAAGCTTTGGTATGTGTATTTCTTATAAAGAATTCCTATCAGTTTGTCCTGTGAAGGCATTTGCAATTACCTTACGCTATTATATGTTGGTCTTGCTTTTTGTGCATTATTTATTCTGACATTGATAGGCAATGACTAGGAGGGAATCAAATGGACAGAAGACTAGACAAATCTAGTAAAAAGTAGTGTACTCTCTGTAGAAGTTGACACAAATGTTTATTTATCCTTATCTGCAAAGGGATTCAGGGTCATCAAGCATAGGTGTATTCTGCTGTTTCAAATACTTCATTTTTCTGCCTCAAACCAGTTACTGTTTCAGAAAGTTGTGGGTATCCCATAGATTCTTAATCAAATCTGCCATTCCAGATCAGCCAGTCCTTTTCCTTAGGTTAGGAGCCATAAGATTATAATGAAAATTTAAAGCATTTATTTTAGATTCCTTATCTAATATTTAAGTGGGTCATATCAGATGAGATTAGTGCTCCAAATGGTCTGGGTTTGCACGTGTGTTAATGCCATCCATTGCAGAAGTCTTTATTTTCTGAAAACACCCTTTGGTATGGTTTATTTCTGTCATACCTTCTTCTTTAATAAATTCCTTCTTTTTTATTTTTTTGTCTGCCATATTGGCTTTGCACTCTGTCTGACTGCGATGTGATAACAACGTGACTGAGTTTGCATGCCTGGGAAAACGCACAAATCTTCTGGAGATCAGCTGGTTCAAACATCTGATACATATACCTGCCTTCATGTTTCACACCACTGTAGTACCTTACCAGTCCACATTCTTTTCAGAAGCCTGCTAACATTCTGTCTACAATAATTAGTCAGTTTGGGTGATTTACTAGTCCCATGTGTAACTTGCATCAATGCCTGCTGAGTGTGCTTTGGATTCTTGCTGTTTCCTCCCACTGCTCATCCAATATCTATAACATTATTCACCAGCCTCCTGGTTGCCTTGGCTGAGCCTGGCTGTGTGTTTGGCTTTTTAGAAACACATTCATATTCACAGAACACTCTGTTATATTCTTGAAGGAATTGGATTCCCACTAATATGAGTGCAATTATTTGCTTTTTCTATAAGCTGTGCCCTTCTGACTAGTCTGATAGTCTGAAAAGTTCCTTTTTCTTGGCAAGTAAAAGAGAGAAAAGGGGATCTTTCCACCCTGTCTCTGGACATTTGTGAGACTAACAGAAAAGATACCTTATCTCATTGCTTATATGTTGGTTTTAAGACTATTTTGGGTTTCATTTATATTTTAAAGCAGATCGAATTCTCTGACTCTATAGAGACACATTTTCCCCATCATTTTTATGTTTCAAAAAGTGAAGCCTACACAATAACTGTGCTGAGTATCTTCCTTCCTACTTGGTGCATCCTTTTCAAACACGTCCATAAAGCAAAGTTATCTAAATTCCTGTATAATTGTAATACAGACTGTTATGATTCAGAAACTATCAGTGTAACAATAGGTTTTTAAAGCCCATGATAAATCTATACATGAAAGCTGCCATTTCCAAAGAAAGGAATCTAAACAGTGTTAGAAAAAGAATAAAATAAAAATAACATGAGATTTTTTTTCCTGTTGGTGAAATTTTGGACACAAAAGGAACTTTCACAGCAATAGTTAAACAGAATTTAGGAAGCAGATCCTAGGAGATGCTCTTCATCTCTCCTAGCAAACACACCTTACCTAGCTGTTGTTCCACTGATTAAAAGAGCTACTCCAGATATACAAAATTATAGAAAGAAAATGATATATTGAAGACACTCACCTTCAGAAAATGGGTATACTTGGAAAAATCCTGAAGCATGAGAAATAGATTTTTACAATTTGTCTTCAGTAGTGGAGACAATGCCAAAGCATACTGTTTTCCAACAGCAACCAGAAAGGCAGCATGAGTGAGGCAAAGCCAGTTTTTCTAACAACATTTCTCATTCTCTGGAAAAAACCCCAGCAACTAATGTGTCACTGTACACTGCTTTTTTTCCCCAGATTCTTGAAATTGTCTTGTTGAATCTACCTTGTTTTATGCAAGTACAGATCTATCAAGGAGGAAAGGAAAAAAGGCCATAACCTTTCCATAAATGTCTCATTATTTTGGATATGTGCCTTCTCACATTATAAGGAAAAAACCACTCTGATATCACAGCTACATCCAACTATAATATGACAAATCATTTCCCTCTTTATTGGCAGCATTTACTGCCCTCAGGTTAGTTGTTCTGAATAAAATTCCAAAATTAAATATTGCTGTTTTCTTGTTGAACAAAGCTGACTAATTTGTTTCAAGTACAATTTTCTGCCACTGGCTAAAGATTCTAAATTGAAGACAGCTTGAAAAATGGATATAATAGGAAGTGATGCAAATCCTGAAAGAAAGAACACCCACACAAACAACAAACACATCTTTTTTTCTCTGCCCCTCTCTGGGATCAACTGAAGATGTGGGTACATATTTAAAGCACTGACCAAAGGTAATAATTATGCCAATTTCTGCTATCATTTTTGAGTAAAAAGTTCTTTCTTGAGGATACTATGTCTGTTATGATCATGAATTCAAGTAAAAATAGAAATCAGATCTTTTGTATGCATTTTGTGATCTACATTATTATTTTTATGTTAATAATCCGAATTACACGATAGCAGATTTTTTTTTTCATAAAAAAAGGTCCTAAAAATTATCTGAGCAGATTTCCTAAAGAATTTACAAGATTTGATGAAGTTTTAACTGTTTAATTAAAACAATCCAAACAAATTTTAGAAAGGGATGAATAAAATTGGCATCTTCCTTAGTTTCCTAATGAATCATTTGAATTAATAACCTGATCTTTACAATGCCTTCTAATGGCAAAATGAGATTTCCAATACATTCTCAACTGACTGAAGTGGTTTAAGCACTTTGTTTTATGGTACCAAGTTACCTTTGATGGTTAGCCAAGGAACTTCAAGGTTTCCACATCATTTGAAATCAGCGTAAGTAGGAAGATGGAGCTTCTATCAGAAAACTTAGATAATGCACACTCGGAATTCTGTCCTTCCATATGTTCTGATGGCCTTTAAATATCTCTAGTGAAGGTGACTCCACACTCTCTCTGGGCAATCTGTTCACTGCTTGGTCACTCACAAAATAAAGTACTTCCTCTGTTCTGATGGAACTTGCTGTGCATGAGTTTCTGCCTGTTGCTCTTCTCCTTTTGCTTGGCACCACTGAACAGAGCTCAGTCCATCCTGCTATCACCATCCCTTCAGATACTGATAGACACTAGCGAGGTCTTCTCTCAGTCATCTCTTCTCAAAGCTGGATAGGCCGTCCTTTTGCACTAGCGAGGTCTTCTCTCAGTCATCTCTTCTCAAAGCTGGATAGGCCCAATTCTCACAGCTTTTCCTCATGAGAGGAAATAATTTTTATAGCCCTTTGATGGACCTGCTCCAGGATCTCCATGTCTCTCTTGTACTGAGGAGCTCAGAACTAAGACCAGCACAGCATATGTGGCCTTACAAGAGCTGAGTAGATGGGCCAGAGCACCTTTCTCAGCCTGCTGGCAATGAATGCTCTTCCACTGGCCTTCATGGCACAAGGGCACACGTGCAGAGCTAATTGCCCACCAGGACTCCCAGGTCGTTCTCTGCGGAGCTGCCTTCTAGCAGGTGTGATCTGTGCTCTTCCCCAGGTGCAGGGCCCTGCATTTGCCTGCAATGAATTCCAGAAGGTTCTTCTCTGCCCAGCTCTCCAGCCGTCGAGGTCCATCTGAAGGGCTGCACAGCCCTCGGGGTATTGGCCACTCCTCCCAGCCATGTGTCATCAGTGAACCTGCTGGGAAGTATCTACCCCTCCATCTAAGTTATAAATTGAACAAGATTGGACCCAGTATCCCTTTTAGGATATCACTTGTTGCAGGTTTTCATCCAGGTCTCTGTGCCACTGATCAAAACCCCTTGAGCTCTACTGTTCAGCCACTTCTCATCCATCTCACTGTCCACTTGTCCAGCCTTCGCTTAATGACTCTGTCTATGAGGATATCATGGGAGATAGCATCAAAAGCCTTACTGAAGTCTGGTAAGCAACATTCCACTGCTCTCCCCTCACCTATCCAGACAGGTTTTGGAATTCAAGTGATGATTGCTTGTGACAGGACTGCCTTCAGTGAGTTGAAGGAAGTTTTACCGTTGGAATTCAGTATTGCCCCATTTAAGTGCTGCAATAAATTCTGAAATAAATTAATATATTTAATTGCATTGTGCAGGAAACATTGCTTCACTTCTGTATGAATTATATGATATTTATACATGATCATGACACACACTGATGACATACACAGCCAAATAGATGTAGTGACCTGGATGAATAATATTTAACAGTTTAGGTCAGGGTGTACTTCATAAAAGTAATGGAAATTTCAGCAGCCAAATATTGGCATGAGAGAAGACAGATCACACAATGAGAAACTTTCAAGTACATGAAAAATACAGGAGTGATGTTGGAGAATGCAGTAAAATTACATTTGAAGCATTTAGATGACTGAGCAACTAAAGTTCTGCAAATGATCCCTGAAGGTAGGAAATCTGTCCACTGAGCAAATCTGAACTAAGACTCAACAGCTTTTACTTGATTAGTTAGAGTAGAAACATTTTTGTCCTGCTCTATAGGTGATCTTTAACTCCCCAGGTTATCGCAGGGCTGATTCACTGTACTGTATTTATTTTAAATAAGCAGAACTATATTTCAGAAAGTTGCTTACATAAATGTACAGAATCCTTTGTGACACAAACTTTTTGAAAGTCAGATAGCCTGTCTTGTCTTCAGAGAAATAGCCAAACCGTGTAATTTTTTTGCTCCTCTAGTTGTTTTCTGCACTCATGCTGGTGGCATTTTTTGTGTATTTTTTTCCTTTTTTATTGAAGTAAATTGTGAAAGGGAAGGTAGGATCTATGAATCATTTCAAGAGGAAAATTTGAATAATGCTGCATGGTAGGATCAAAACCATTATCAGCAATTTGAAATTAACTTACATAACTAACTTCATGAAATTGAGCCCAAATATTTAGACTTGATTTAGACACAACAAGAAAATGCTTTGTGCTGAGGCAAGGTAGATTCCTAGGATTAAGTCTACTTCAATGATATATGTACTTACATTTGAACAAATGAACATACACATACATTAGAATGCCTCTTGTGGGGCTTTATCTTATGGGAACTTCCTTCCCTGACAGTGTCTTGGGTATTTCACTGCATTCTTTAAGTCCTGACAACATGTGTGCATGTATATATACATATTTGTACACATATATAAGTTATTGAATCTCAGATAGATATATACATACATATGGACATGCAAAATATTATAAATTAATATTTTTTTACATACCTATTTAGAAATAAAAAACAAACCTGTGTTCTGAATGAAATGCTTCATCTGTGTCTGTGGGGCTCTTCATTATTCAAAATACTGCTTTTTTTCATTGCCTTTTATTATCTGGAGAATGAACATCACTGTTTTAACTGCAATGAATAACAAAAAAAGATAAGACCTGTGTTGCACAGTGGCTCTGATATAAAAAGGCCACAAATCCTATTAATATTCAGTTTTACAATTGACTTTTACCTGTCAATTACAATGGTCTTCCTTATTATAAACATTTACAATAATTTGATAGTTAGTGATTTCACTGGAAATTTCTTTTGAATCTGAAATAGAGGATAAGGAAAATTATGATCTGACATTTGATATTTTGTAAGCAGGATCTGCTTAAGTAGTTTGAGCTTTTTGTTGAATAAAAAAAAAGTTTTATTTCAGTCTCTTACTCATTCTGTTTCTATGTTAATTACCTAATTAAAAACTTAGAGTTTGTCTACTATACATAAGAAACCCTAATTCAATATCTTTTTACAGCTGGGACCTCTGAAATAGGTAATACAGTGAGGAATTTCATAATGGGAATTAGGGAAGGATCAGCCACTTTAAAAAATTTATAATCAGTGCAACGAAATAACCATTATGAAGGTACAATTGATCTGACCTATTTTAGAGATCTATTTGCAAGTAAGACCAACTGCATTCTAGATGAGCAATCCCACATATGAAGACAGCAACGCTCAGACAGATGAATCCTAGCAGCAGGGTTACTTAATGTCCAACAGATGTTAGGTGACAGTCACTGTAAAACATTACAAGAAGTAACTTTTAAGCACATTTAACTTTATTTGACAAAAATGTTAATTTGATTTGGTCTGAAGTTCTAAAACCACTGCTGTTCTCAACACTAAGTGCAATTACCATTTGGAGTGTTAAGTTCCATAATTATCTTGAACTAACAAGAAGCACAAGATGATGTCAATTTGGTTTTTCTGTTTTATTTGTTAGAAAAGGCTCTAATTAGGGCATGAAAAATAGGGGAGAAGTTTGGGTTAACAGTTCACTCAGATGCAACATAACCATTTTGAAATCATAGACATATAATTGTTATAGAGAATCAGGATGAACACTGAAGCAGGTCAAAAATCTACCAATTTTGTGCATCAGTAGATAGCAAGTACTAATTCTATTTTAATTGCATTTATATAATTTATTATTTACAGTGCTCAAAATTCAGTGTTTCTAACCAGTCTGACAGGGCTGCTTTTGTTTTGTTTTGGTTTTGTTTGTTTATTTTATTGATTTTTTGGGGATGTTTGTTTGTTTATTTGTTTGATTGTCTTTGTTGGTTGGTTGGTTAGTTTTTTAAGTAGGTAAAAGGAATTTTGCCAGGATTAGTGATCAATTTAACAATAAGTTTCTCTTTTGGTTCCTCTTGAGGAAAACCCCAGACTAGTCCTCTCTTCTTTCTACCTTTCAAATCTCCCTGGAAAAATTTAAAAAAATGAATCCAGCACTGTAGAGATGATATCCTGTAGAATTCTTCCATAGATTGATTTATTAACACAAATCTCATTAGAAAGACGTAGGAACATTCCTGATTCACTGTATCTTGAGTTCTGTAGATCTACAGTTACTCCTATTGCCTCCTAGGTTTTATTTTTGTCTCTCAGAGGAGTTGGTTGTATTTTCTGAAAGAATTTCACCTGCAAAAGATGTCAGCAGACAGCAGGTTCTCTTGTTGACCTGTGACAAGCCTGGCAAGAAGCTCTGGGTGCCTAAAGAGATCAGATGTGCTCTTCTCTGAATCCTGAACCTCTGTGGAGATAGTGGGTCTGTCTCTGCTCACTTCACTGTAGTTCACCAAGAATTGTACCAGACAGAGTTAAAATCTGTTATAATCTCGACGGGAAAGTCACAACAAAAAACACAAGTAGATTATATTAAAACACAATACATAGAATTAGTAACTTCTTCCTTTTTTTAGACAGTGTCCCTAATATCATCATCAATGACAGTTCAATCTCTCTCAGATTTGAACTATATATATATCATCATATAATTTTAGAATTAGGCCTTAGGAGAGGCATGAAAAGAATATCAACAGGTCAGGAAAGTTCACTCTCAAATACTTCAGTGATTTCTTCAGGGCTCAAAACTGACCAGTATTTAGACTTTTAACTCACTGTTGGCTAATGGAAGGAAGAAAAGTATCCTTCACCAGCTGGGAAGGTGGAAGTTAATGAATTCTGGGGGATCCTAGGGGAACAAAGATGAAACTGGATAATAGGCATAAAGGTAATGTGGGAACTTGTCAGAGGGCATAAAGTAATTCTAATGTTCCACACCATGGGCCTGTTTGGAAGCAGAATGTAATTTTGTGGTGTGGGCAGCCCACAAGGAAATCTGGCATATGTCTGTCAAAATAAGAGTGAGGAAAAGCATACATTTCATTATTTAGTTTTTTGTAGTGAAGAGTAACAAAGGACTGAAGTATCCTTGAGCTGTGAGGTGTTCCCAGGCTGTTACATTCCTTCTTTTGATTTTTGCCTAACAGTTGGGCTAAAGAGAAAAGCCAATCTGCTCACTTCTTAGAGCTAAGCTATCTTTAGATAAACCCGACATTCAGCTGAGTCCAGCACACTTCATAAACACTCACTCCCAGCATTATAAAACTTTGGATTCACAACCAACCTTC